TTAATCATTAAAATGCTGGACAATTCTCCAACAATAAAAAAAGGTTTCTTCGTTTATTCGTTATAACACTACTTTGTTTATCCGCGTGAGTGGAATAACTGTTTTCCTTCGCAGGTTTTATCCATTCCCACTGGGGGTTTAGTGCCCGAAGATTTGTTTGGAACATTAGTCGTTTTAAAAGGAAATTCTTTTTATTTGTGTAACGAAACGAAATGAGCGCGGGTCGGCCCGCAAAACGTTTATCCGGATCCCATTTATAAAAGAGTATAGAAACCACAAGTAGTGTTAGTACCTTAAATAATAAAAATATCCTTTAACAAATCCATATTCATCAGACTATGATTACTACATTGACAATCGCAATACCGTTCGCTAGTAATTCGTGTATATTCGCAAAACCATCAGCTTAAAAATAGACCCTCTTTTACCTGGCATTGCGGGCCCGAAAGTTATGCCAGCGTAAGACATTTTTTATATTATTTTATATTTGAAAGTGTTTATACATATTGTAACAATATAAATATACACTTTCAAATATAAACAATCTCAACAATACATTCCTTATTGTTTAGTAATTTGTATGACTGTCAATTACTAATTTATTTTAATTGACAATTACAGTATATTGTTGCAATAAAAATATAACACAAAGTTAGCAATGCAGAAAATTAAATCTGCAGTTCATTTACCGTAAAAAAAGTTTTCTATAACTCCGGAACAAAAATGTGTAGTTTTTCAAATGTCGCAAATCTCGCGCTCTTTTTAAATTTTATTTTTATTTATTTATCTTTTAAGTTTTACTCATCTTTCAACTATTTATTGTTAAAATGATGGGAAGAGGTTCTAGAACTCAAGAAAACGTGCACAGATTATTTTCTCCCCCATACGTCACATATAGTTTTTAGAATAAATAAATCTAAATAAAGTATTTTATCGAGGTATTTAAACACTAAATTTAAAGTGGTTTGCTCAATCCTGAGGATGAGCCGCTTCAGGTAAAAAAAAACATCGCCATCACCTACAGAATTATATCAACAAATGTGTCTTATAACATTTAGCTGAAAACTATTTTGTTACTGCACTGCAGTTTCGTTGTATTTTAAGGGGGTCGAAGTGCTAAGAATATTTGAAAGTATTAGAGAGAAAAAGAAAACTTCTTTCGGATGCAAATGATGAAAAACGGAAATTTATGAACTGGCGGAATCGGGATGCATTAGGTTCGCTTTATATCGCGCGCCGCTCTGCGACAGCGTCCATGGCCGCCAGCCGACCATCGCAATTCAGGGTGCTCACTGTTCGCAAATGACATCTCGAGACCACAATAGTTTCCAGCCTTGGAAATGCGCACTAAGCTGACACATGTAAGCTGCAACGAAATTGAAAGACGACGAAGAAAAACACAAAACAACTTTCTGCGGGAATTTATGCTTCTGAGATCAAAACGGTTGTACCAATAATCAACACCTTAATATTTCTTTTTGTATTACCAATAAACAGTAAATGATACTCACTCTATTTCCTTTATTGTTTCGGAATCAAAATGCACAGATATCTGTAATTGGTTTTCGAATAACTTTTAAATTTTGTCGCGTTCTGTATCTCACTGACTTCACGAATCATTGCATCAGCGGCGGATGGTAAAGCCACTAATCCAATCCAAGGCTGCACAAAAATTCAATCCCCAATTTCATCAACTCGGAAATTTGCATTTGTCGTTATTTGTATTCAGTGACATCACGATTAGTAAACTTGATATCCGTCTCGGCATTGGCACGAGAAACATTTGTTAATCACATTATGCACTTCACGCTGGAAAATATTTTCCCCGTCCACAATGACCTCTGAACTCCCATGTCGCCGTGGATTTTGAAGGGCGAAAAGAACCCTTCCTACGCCTTCCTTCGGAGAGGAAGTAAAGCCCTTGATGCAACAAATCAAGCTCAAGAGAGGTCTCAGAGATAAATTCAAACCCGTGTTTCGTCGCCCAAATGATACTTTCTTTCTCTTCTATAGATAACGAAAGGAGCGTAGCGAAATTTGCATAGTCAGACGGAAGAGCAGGCCTGATTGCCCAAGCCTCGTCACACAAAATAAGGCATCGTTGATTGACTGACTTCGAGAATTTGCCTTCGTTGTAGTCTACTAGGCGCAATTTTTGTACATTAGAGGATTCAACCCACGTTGGACGAATTATGGCACGTTATTAGAAAAAACTATGACTCCCATGTCGATACATGTACAAAATATTCTGAACAAATATAACAGTCAGACACAAGGTAATAAATATTTGACATTTCAATTTTTGCTTGTTCCTATTATTACAATTATTATTAAATATTGTACTTCGTTTTTTTAACAACAACAAAAAAAAAATCGGTCATTTTTGCAGCAATACAAATAGCAATAACTATGAAAAAATAATATTACTTGCACATTTTCTATACTATCTGAAAATGTTGTGCAATAAACTAAATCTTGTACTATATATTGTAAGTATAAGTATTAACAAGTTACTGGTTAACGTGACTGCTGATAAATAGTTATAATTCACAAAAACATGAAACATCCTTTTCCAAGTCTTTTTCTAGATAATGCATGCAGTGAATATAAATAATCAAAATGCAATTAACTTTTGTCCTGTAACTAGATTTATTGCGGCAAATGAGAACGGCAATCTGACAAAAGATGAATTCCATACTTCAAAACACAGAAGGATCACGTACATTAGCACAAGCAATGAATATTTATGAAGAGTTTTATATGGAGAGGGTGAGCTAAAAGAAGTTTGTTGGTTCATGAGATCTATACACTATTTATTGAATTTTAGAATACTTTAATTCTGCATGGGCGGATCCAGAAACAAATTTTGGGAGAGGGAAATTCAAAATGTTTTGGTTGAGCGTTATATTTCAGATTTTGTATAATGTCATAGGCTACACTTAGCTCATAATGTGATACGATTTAATTTGTTTGAATGATCTTTTGAAAATAATGTTGTTTGAAACTTTTGTGACAAGCTAAAATTAAAAGTTACTGAAATGTTTTGGGGGGTGGGGGGATTTCCCTCTTTACTGGTACTATACTCTTGATTTTCATCAGAGATGAGTAGTGTGTTGCATCTACCTAATTTTCAAACACCAGAATAATTGTTAATTGCAATTCCTCTGTTCTCTGTTCGTAGTGCCCACAATTATATTCACAACAAATGACAAATTATCTAAACATATAAGTGGAGAAGTGGTTAGAGTATCAAGAGAAACGAGTAATGACAAAAGGCAGAAGTTTTTGCCTTTCTAGCCTTTTGAAGTGATGTTGAAAACTTACCTCTTTGTATAATTGTGTGTTACAATTTCCATGTGTGTTTATTCTCTTAAAACATTCACATAAGGAAACAGGGCAGATAATGAAAAGCGTAAAGTAATAATGAGGTCTGGAGAGTAAATTGGATTAACATTCATCAGGAAAAAAATCTCTGGATACTTCACATCAATCTTAAGCTGGATTTTATGCTGCTCATCACAGTCACATATTTTGTTAGCAATAATTTTAAATATTGAATAAATTATGTTGGAATATTTTAAGGGACAATAACTCCTAATACCATTCTGAATGTAGTCTTTGAAGTTGAGATAATTAAACACACATGTAGCTTTATAGGTGAGGTATGAAAACAAGTTCTGGTAACAAGCAAAGAGTTCCTGAAAAATAAAACCCTAAGGGCATGCAAAAGAGAATGGAAAAAAACAAGAGAAATTTTAATTGAACATGGTTCTAAATAACTTGATCAGTAAAAACTCAAAGGATGGAAAATAATGCAAATTATAAAAAAAACCTACACAATGAATGTCAGAATGCATTACTCACCCGAAAAAGAATGTACTGTAAGGGATTCCATTAACACAGGTGGTTGAGCTGGCAAATATCTTGGTTAATAGAAACTGGATTTCACACTCCAACAGCAAAACATAAAGGAAGACCACACAATTTCTAACAGTTCTCACTCTTCCTTCACAACTATGATTTTTTTGATACTGCTCTGAGGCAGAAAGACAGGCACCAAAAATACCATCTACACACTGAAATGTGTTTTTTCTCAATGTTGATATTGACTTTTGTGTAACTAAGTTTCTTACTGCTGTTAATGGAATCCCTACTGCACATTCATCAAAACAGACATTCAAAACGCAGGAAGGAAGAAACTTCAGACCCTGAGAACTAGGGATAAAATTGCTTCAGTTAGAAACACATTTACTAAACTGTATTTAACAACACAACAATGGATATTGTGGCTACAGGAGAACATTGTTCAGGGAGGATAAAAGGTGATGGTCAAAGATGGTAAGCAGCAATCAAGAAAGTAGATAAAGAACTGCAGGATAGCCACTCTTTTGCTAGAACAAATTTCGATTTTCCCAGGTTTTCAGTACATTTAAAAAATTTTTCCCTGATAAAATTTGTAATTTTACACTACTTAAAGAAAATATTGATAACCTGATACTAACTGGTAAGATCTCTCGATTTCTTCGTGACAACATATGAATGAACAATATTTTTTCGCCAAATAAAAATTGAGAAAAAATAGCACTCTACTAATGTTTTTAAGGAATAATTCATAGTTTTATTCTCCTTGCAAACTTCCCCTGATTTCTGAGGTTTCTTTTACCAATTATCTGTTTTTCCCATGACCCTTTCAGACAAAAAAAAAAAAAAAAAAAAAAAAAAAAAAAAAAAAAAAAAAAAAAAAAAAAAAGCCCTGATTTTTCCTGAAAGTGGCCACCCCCAACCGAAAGAAAGCAGGGGTAATGAGAAAGAAAATATGACAGCAAAGGAAAGGAAAAATTATTAGAGGGAAAATGAATGGTACAATTCATAAGAGAGGGGTCTCCTAGAGTTCACATTATAACGACATCTGGAATTTCTGAAGGAAGATTACTAAGTAACTTCCCCTTCTGAATAAATTAGTTATTCAGTAAATTAACATCCCTTTTACAAATTATACAAGGTTTATTATATCAAAATATTCATTACTTTACTATGGATTATAATTAATTCAATTTTAGTTATTTAAAGAAGAGAAACAAAACTTTTTGGTAAAAAGATGTAAATGAAAATGCTAATTTATTGTTACATTTCCAATATTGCATGAACTATATGTCCATAAAAAATAGTAATCAGTTTTGACAACAATTTATATTTATAAATAATATGTACACTTTTTACAAAAGAAACATTTACTAGTACAGACACAAATAAATATTAATAGCAATGATTTCACACACCATCACTAAGGAACAAGAAGTCATTAAACTTGGTGCAAATATTAAAGAGACCCATAGGATCTTCCTAAGAACAATATCAAATATTGCAATTCTTAATCAACGTTTTCTGCCCCAGAACATAGACTGTCCATTCTGAGCATGAATTTTGCACCTAACTAGCAAATGTACCATTCCTTTTTCCTAACAACTCGTTTATATCACTACACGGTAGTTTCCGGGTTTTGCCAGTCATCATCTTTACCTTTTGTTACATTTTTAGCATTAGGATTATCTAATGCATCCTGTCTTAATAAATGAGAGGACACTTTCTTAGGACATAACTTTAAATCATCATCGGCTAATTTTTCCTGAGAACTTAAAAGAGTTGAGAGTCTGGCAGCCTCACTTTCCACACTGCTTGTACTCTCACTCACTGCAACCAAATGATAGTAGTTACTTGTGGGTTCCAAAATTTGACTCAGAGAAACAGACGATCCACAAGAGGATGAATAATTTTGTTCTGTCACAACATTGTCATTACTGATTACACCATTAGGTATGGCTTCAAGATTTCCATTGTTAACAGCACCACTCTGTTTTTCAACAGCACTCACTGGATTTGGGCCTGGGCTATTGTGAGGTGGAGAAGACAATGGTGTTGACTTAATTGATGAAGGAGAGTTGTCACTGCTTCCTGAATTACTGTCTGAGGCTCCTGCCACAGAGAAACCTCTGTTCAAAAAATGGCTAGAATTTGCACTAATGCTTGACATTGCAGCAGCAGGAGTTGATATTTCAGAGACAAGAGGAGTACTTTCATCATCACTGTCCAGATCTCCATTATTTTCAGAAATACCAATCTCTACATCTTTATCTTCTCCGCTTTGACTGCCAATGCTGTGCCCAAGAGGTGAAGCAACTGTTCTCAGAATTTTATCTTTCAATCTATTCAGTTTTTCAAGGCTAGAAGCAGGTGTCACTAAAACTGATGGTGATGTAGACAGTCCTAAGACACTATCATTAAGAGAACTATTTGATTTCTTAATACGAAGAGAAGCGGTAAGGCTACTGAGAAGAGAAGTTGATGATACTGCCTTTCCAGCATTCCCTGCACTATCTTCAGCAGAATGTGAACGGAATGCAACATGGTGTTTTGGTGATGCAGGTGGAGTCAAATTTTCAAATGCTGGACTCTGATCATCCCCAAGAACAAGAAGAGAAGATGGTCTCTGTCGTTGTTTCAGAACTTTTGCACCAGTGCTGAATGTTGCTAAAGCACTAACACTACGTGAAGAACTGGTTCTTTGAAGCAGATTGTGAAGGGAACCTTTGTTGCCAGAAGCTGGTTCCAATTTAGAAGGTGGGAGAGGTGGCTTTCCACCTAACTTGCGTTGTTGGACTGGGGTTCCACTCGCTGAACTACCACAACTTGGGCAGTCAAAATTAGACTCTCGGCTGCTGCTTCCTCCCAAGCAGATAGTAACTGGTTTTGTGTGATGAAGAGGAGACGATTGAAGAAGCACCACCTCTGTCTCACCCAGTGTGTCTAGAACACTGCTGTTACAGCTGGTTGTTCGAATACGACCTCTCATTTCTGCCAGCATGCGTAACCAAGGGAGCAAAACAAACATGCATTAACACATTATCTCTATTTGTCGATACAAATTTGAATTTATCTAAAAAAAAAGCCATAAACTATTGTAAATACCTACAAAAATACACCAAATCTGGGACATAAAAATTTAGGACATTTTTATTTTTTCTACTTGTAACATATAAATTTGCAAATATTGTAATTATGAAAGGAAATAATTTTTAATTGTTTACAGCTACTATGTATTAATAGCATAACTTATCTAGAATTAAGTTTCTATAAGAATAATGTTTACACACAACACAACATTCAATCACTGCACATTGAGAGAAAACTAAATTTTGAAAACAGAACACAAAGATGTTAGAAGTATTTTACAATCTACAATGATCTACCTTACTGAATGCTAAAATAATATTTATTTTATGAGCATTCTTCCTACAGAGAGAAAAAAAAGCAAGAAATACCTGACTTGAGGTACCAATTCTTCTGCCAACGTTTATGAAAGTAGCAGGTAACCACTGATTTTTGATAATTCTTATCAACACACAACTGCCCAACATGAAATACAAACTTGTAAAAGGCAATTATCTAGAAATAATTCATACTTACAGAAATACTAAAATCCTTTCATGAACTGAAGGTTTTTTAAAAAGGAAATAAATACAATCATGAAACTATAGTCAATCCTCAATGTGTCTTCATACCACACGTAAGAATAAAGATTTAAATCTTCAATGTGATTAAAATAAATTCGAAATAATACAACACTCATGTAAATGCATAACATTATCCTACAATTCACAGTTTACATCAGCTGCCATCATTTTCTTTCAGATATCATGACTCAATCATAGATACAAGGGATTCTAAACTGCAAAAATTTAAAAAGTATATATATTTTTTTAACAAGGAACAATTTACAAGAGGGTTCCACTTAATCAAATCTAAAACATCAGCCAAAAATCTGGTTTTAAATACAAATATATATACATTCATTTTGCTGAAGACAGTCTCTATCATATGACTTCACACTTATTGGTATGTGTACAAAAAAGATGCACAAATGCACCTAAGACATTACAATTATTATTTTTGTAACATGTTGATCTGTTTGTAATTTCAAATAACGGAAATGTTACAAAAATTGGACCCAGCCATAACATGGCAATGAAAAAATGGGCAATGAAAAATAACAAAACATTAAGTAAAACTAGCTAATTTACTTAACGTTACTTACATATTTGAGATATTTTAAGTGGCAATATAGTATATATTGCAATATAGTTTAGAATATAAGAGCAATACACAAGTAGGAAACTTTTTTTTGAAAGGAATGTACTTTCTGCAAAAGGAACCCAAACCAATGTATATTTTTTCTAAGTTTCACAGCACAACGAAAAAATTTGTATGTTGGTAGGGAAAATAATAGAGTGCAACTAATAAAACATTTTTTATATTTTTGGGAAACTTTATGGAAAATTTACATACCATATTTACAATTCATGCAAAGTAATTACTCAAACACGCATGCAATTAAATAACTTAACACTTTATTAATTCATGCTTCTGCACTTGTTGCATTTGTCCTTTCAATTACTAAATAAGATGAGGTTAAATACTGTTCTTTGGAAGTTACATTTAGAACTTCAGAAAGAACTGAAGTTTTATGAAAAAAAATGATTATAACAATCTGTATACAAATTATTTTCTTTTAAATTAAAAATTAAAATAGCAAAAGAAACCTCTGACAGAAAGGCAATGAGACAAATCTTATTCTGACAAGCTGAAGTATTATCTAATCACAGAAAATATGCAAGTAACTTGAAATCTGAGAAAACTTACGAAAGATTGATTTACACAGAAATTGGTAAAGCATACAAACTAAAGGAATTTTCCAGATCTCTTCCAAACCATTTCATTTGACAAAGCACTTCCTTATCTCTTCAGCCATTATAACACCGCATGCCAATTATAAAATTCTAAAAGAAATGAAGCTTTTTACATCAGATAGACAATTCAGTTAATCATGCAATTTGCAAATTATTTTAAAGAAATCAAGAAAACAATTTACAGAAAAGCTAGTGTGGAGTTAATCACACTGCCAAACCATACAGAAAAGGTTCTCATGGCACAATACAATAAAAATTGAAACTTCTACAGAAACAGCCAATACCATATTCTGGCATGTACCAAATAATATCAAACAATTTACATGTTCTAATTAAAATTGGAATGTAATATATTTAAAAAAAAAACAACTTATTATGAAATATTTTTATAATTCAACATTGTTTTGGAGTTTTGAATATATTGTTAGGAATGCTTTTTTTTAGCAGTGAAACAGATAAATAGTACAAAGACAAATTAATTTAATGTAAAATTGTTGTCACATTCTCCAACATTCAAAATATAAAAATTACAAAAATTGAAAATCCTAAACATCTTGCTTCTAGAAAACAACATGAATTGTAATGAAATTATGTTGAACTCGCAGTTGGAAAATCAGACAATTTTCACTCCTCATGGTATTTGCCAGAAAACACCAAATTTATGAAAAATACTTGGCCCCTTTAACTTCATGTTTATGTTTAGTGTGTTCTATTTACAAATAAATTGCCAACACCACCAAAGCATAAGGAACCACATTAAGTACATTCCAGACAAAGAATATTAAGTATCTACCTATCTAAATATATATAGATATATAAATATATACAGAAAGTTTCAGTTTTACTGCAGACTTTTAAAAGTTAAGTGGATCATAACATGCCACATTTAAACATGTAAGTGAAAGATGTATATCTTATTAATAACCATGTTTTCTGGCAACATTTGATAAACTGTGAAAAAGAATACTTTTGAAATAAAAACAATACTATTTGTGAGGTCTTGGGTCTTCGGTATGATCTCTAGACAGTTCCATTTGAATAACATTGCTCATTTTTTTCAACAACAACAATGTGCAGTGATATTCAAATGGACCTATCTGAAGAGTTTATAAGAACTTGAAGCAACTGGCAGACGACTGGTTGACACATCACAACACTGTGTTTTCATTCCATGCGCCGCTTGTGCTGCTGAGATTCATATCCCCACTCTGGTCCAATGGAAGTGGCTCATATATGGTGACCACAGAGAACTCACCTGGCTCAGATGTAGGAGCCCCTGCAGGATTGACACGGTGTGCATCACCATGAACTTCTGCTTCATCCAATACATCCTCGCACGCTTCTTCATTCAGTGTTTGCAGAGCTCCACATATCATTTGTTCTTCTAATGTAACCTGCACAATTCAATTTTTACATAAATACAGATGAGCAAAAACATTTTCTGCAAGGAATATGAAATCCTTTAATCTACCATAAAGAACTGTTTAAAAAAATATTCAGTCTATTTTGCCTAGCTCACTACTTCTGAGTGCAATTCATGGAATGTAAATAATTATTTCACCCCCTCCAACAACTTTTCAATTCTCTCCATACCTGAAACTATTCCCATCGGATGCATGCGAACACACAACAGTGAATTAGGTACAAGAAAGTACAACAATGAATTAATTAAAGCAATGTAAAAAAACCAACAATGATTTAGTGAAACCATAGCAATTACATCAATATACATTGAAGGGCATGTACTTCATCAGAGCAGGAGTTGCAACAAAGTGATAAAACCATATCTCCTACAAAAACTCAGCCAAGAAGAATTCATTTAAAGCATTTATGAAGGTCTATTAATTGCATTTGATGCAATGAATCTGCATGTCCAAAGCACACGTAATATCATTTCAAGTTCTTGTTCCATTCAATCTCTGTCTTGGTTACCACAGTCAAACACAAATGGACTAACTGGATGGTTAGCAATTACCAATGCACTAGGAGTCACAGGAATAACATGCACTAATTTAAATGATAATTTTTCCAAAAGTTACAATTTGTATACAGAACACCACAAATCAAAAATAGCTCATATCAAATGGAATGCTACAACACAAATGTTGACAACATGTGACGAACATGGTAATATTTGTCAGTGGATACCTGGTTCTCACAATTTGGTCGTTGGAGCAAGGTACAAACTTAATTACCCTCCAACCTCAAGTGAGCCTCCACAAACAGTGGTCGACATAGCCTGGTCTCACAAAGGAAAAATTCTGGTAGTATGTTTCAGTGATGGCTTTCTTTCCATTCTGGAAGAAGAAGATGAAGAAAGAAGGAGCTATACCTTCATGAATCCTATTTCTGACTGTGTATTCAGTTGTTTAGCATTTGATCCAGATGACAATCGCATTCTTCTAGGAACCACAGATGGTTTCCTAGTAGTTGTGAATATTCAGGGTAATGCTCCAATTATTCAAGATTCAATAAGACTTACTAGAACCAGTATAATACAATGCATTGCCTGGAGTTGTCCCCATTTCTACACACAAGAAACTCATTATATTTGGCAGAAAAAATCTTTTAATTTGGGAATTGGTTTTAAAAATGGTATGATACATATCCAAGAAAACTACGATGATCTCTCTCCTGTTCGTGTGCAAACTAATCTGTATAATATTATGATCCAATGGAATACGAATGGTGAATTTTTAGCTGTGGCAGGTCAACGACGAGCTTTCAAAATTAAAAAATCTAGTAATGCATTCTTCAATTTTGCAGACTCATATACTTATGTAAATGCTGTGACTATCTACAACAAAAAAGGAGCAAAGTTAATATTTTCAGTTCTAAGTGAACATTGTTCTTTAATAGACTCTTCACGTGTGAGAGGAATACACTGGGCACATAGAGACAGATGTCTGTTTGTGGCTGGTGGAAGTCATATCTACACTGTAAGAGTGATGAAAGACCCTAATACCAAAATTCCAACGTTGCAACAAATATGTTGCAGTAAAATATGTGCATTAATAGAGAAGAAGAAATATCCAGTTCCCAAGATATTGCCTCCTGCATTACAGGCTCAGATAAATTTTATGTTAAAACCAGTAATAACTTACCCATTACCTACATATGACTTCACAAGAAGGGAAGAATTTCTTTTTCATCAACCAAAAGAATACATCCATTGCACATTAAAAAAGAGAAGTAATTCAGTGTACACATTATATATGGAATTTCTTGGAAAGCTTATTCCTTTACTAGGAGCAATAAAATCATCAAGAAGAAATACTGAATTCATGATCTTGCATCCTAAGCAAAGTGATCGAATATCCAATTGTTCAATAAAAAAACAACAGTCATGTACAGAAGAAAAAGAGTCAAGAACAAAGAAATTATTTAGAAAATGCAAAAGATGTACTAAAATACAAGATCTTCCAGAAAACAATCCTGTAGCAATGGAGAAAAAAGAAGTAGAACCAAAACAAGCATTGGCTGTTGTAAGTTCAAACACATGGAAAACTCAATTTAAAATTAAACAATACACATCAAACACACCTGTATTATTGGCAAAAATCAATTACAATCCATCATTTCTACACATGATGCCCAGGAAAATTAATGTTGAACTTGTTTGCAGAAAATTTGATGAAAATATAAGAAAGTACATCTTGCCCTACAACATCCCTGCCCTTCTTTCTGATACTTATATGAAAACACTATTAATAGATAGTAGTAATAAAGAAATAAGAGTAGCATTTTCTCCCAAGTTGCCATTATTGATTTTCCATTTTGACTGTAAAGAAAATGTGTTTCTCCCAAAGGCTACTTTTGCTTACACCATGCACAGATGTGCATGTTCCACATGCCATAAAGATAACATTCTAGATCACCTCCACAACTGGACATGGATATTTCAAAAATATACATTGAACAGACTGAAATTTTCTTTATATAATCGGGAAGATCAATGCATCAATTATGTGAACAGCACAATCTACTTTAAGCAAAGCTTAGAAGTTGTCTTCATCAATGTTTCAAGCAGTAATATAATATGCACGGTTATTCAAGATGTCCATGAAGAGAATGAATTTTTAAATACATTTTTCGTAAACAAGTCAGACAATTTTTTTCCAGAACATTGTAGAAAGCTGTGGGATATATCAATAAATCAAAGATCAAGAAAGGAGCATTTTACCAAAAGGTACTCACAGCATTTGAAATTGCTCTATTTTGAAAATGTACAAAAGCAATTACCATTAAGCACCGTCACAAACCACCAAAAACAATACAGTGACAATTTTAAACAATCCTTCAGTTTTTGTAAGTTTGGAAATAAAAAAAAAATACAGGCAACTCATGTTCTGCAAAACAAAGCTCCTACATGGAACAAAACACTGTGTATCTATCAGCTTGACTGTGGAGGACGAGTGACTGTTGAATCAGAGAAGAATTGTCAATTTGAATACAAAGGTCAACAATCCTTGCAATTCGGAAGAATTGGAACTCTTCAATTTACTCTGGATTTCCGCTACCCTTTTACCCCTCTTCAGGCATTTGCAGTAGCACTTACGAGTCTTACTCATGGAATGAAGTAATCTACACCGAAGAAAACTATTACTGAACCATAATGCAGAATGTTATTAGTGAATTTTACTATGTTCATTTCATCAGTAATTTAAATAATTTTATATGTTAATATAAATAAAGTTAAGAATCATATATTACCATTTATTTTAATGATTTAAGTTAAAAAAGAAAAAAAATAGTCTCCCTCGTTGCCAATGTAAGTTGAAAAAAGATAGCTAACATTATGGAGCACAAATTACCTGCTTCTCCATTATTGTCTGTTTATTTGATCTATTCTCACTTCTTGAAGATTTTTCTTTTTCTAATTGACTGTTTGATTTACTTGGGATTCCTGAAATACCAAAATAATTTACAACCACACCTTTACAAGATACGCAAATGATATTCACTTTAGAATTATGGCTATACCTTTCCTATCTTGACCAGTTGCAGGCATCTGACGACTGGGGACAGCGAACCGTACATTTTTATTGTTGTATTCATCCATATGAGATAAAGATGAAAGTTCACTGTCTCTCAATGATGTTATAACCATCCTGAACATTTCCCAATCACCAAAATTCATTTTCAATACCTGCAAGATAAATAAAAGGTAAAATATTAAAAAACATCTTTGATCTAATATGTTCACAATCCCCAAAACAAACATTAATAAACAAAAATATATCTGCAAAAAATGCCTGCCTCTGCAGTTTAATGAAATGGAGGTTTAATGAATATTAATTTAATGGTTTAATGAAAAACACTAAGGAATACAGTGAAACTCTGTTTATACGTTTCTCACTTTAATGTTTTTCACATTTATACATTTTTCTTGATAAGTCTTGGATAAATTCCTATAATATTCATTATCTATCATTTCAGTTATGCGCTTTTTGTTTATATGTTCAAAATAAAAGTTCCTTTAAGATCGTATAATGTTCAAATGATCCCGGTGAGTTGCGGGACTACCTGCGCAGAGAGCCCAGAACCTTCATGTTACTTGAGTTGTCACGGTCCAGTGTGCTCCTGCGGAGCGACCTGTCGTTCGGCCTCTGAGGTGACTTCCCACTAATGAAACTTGTAATATAGAAACTTGATTCAGCCTACCTGAGGGGCCAAAACTGCGTGTGCCTGTGGGATGTTAGGGCAAAGTTGGCTCCTGGGCCACCTTCTGCAGAGGAACTTCCAAAAATTTCAGTCGGTTGTGTATGGAAGCTCTGAGGATTTCAGGAAGCGATGTCTAGCTCTGAGGGAAGGTCAAGGGCGTCCCCGGGAGAGAGTAATGACGTAGAATACAAGTAAGTAAAGTTTGTGCACTGACTGTCCCACTCTCCACAGGCCCTTTTTCTCGTCAAAATATCGTACGAGATCCATTCTAGAGTGACATGGAACACGCAGCTATTGATACTGATCACTTTTCCGAGTGGCACAGGAAGTGTCGCCACACTGTGGGGCTGAAGCAGTCATGCGCTTCTTGTCACTTGCGTAGAACACCGTACTTTGAGCCGTGGAATCTCAAGTAACATGAAGCTTTAAATCAAAGCAACCAGCTGCAGGTCGTCACTGCCAGTTGAAGCCCTAGCATGACAAGTTTCCACAATGAAACTTCAGTCGCACAAGGTCATCGGTAAGGTCCCCATTGTGTGACCATTCTAACGAAAAAGTGTGGTAGGAAAATGCAACCCCTTTTGATATCAGATAAAATAAAAAAAATTAAAGTTGTTAGGGAGAGTGGCAATCAAAATGGTGTAGATATTGCAAACAAGTGGGAAAATGGTAGTGCAAAAACATTGATTTTGCTCAAAATCAATTTCAGTTAAGTGTTTTTTCTCACTTATTCATTTGTTCCCTTCAGTCCTCTGAAAAACATATAAGCAAAATTTAACTGCAATTTGAAAAATTTAAGAGCAAGCTGTAACCAGCAGAATCATGTAAAAATATGAATCACAGTGCATTACACTTCACTGATAACTAGAAAATACAGACAAGATAACAAAATAATTCTACCTAATAATTATTTCTCACCTTCTTTAATTCATCTAAATCACAATGTAACAGAACTTTCCCATTTATATTATTCTCTTGGATTAGAGCTGTGTATTGATTTGCCATAGAAGGATTCAAATCTTCTATTTTTGACAACACATTACACACTCCCTCCACACTCAAAGACGATAACTTCACATCTTGGACATCCATCTATAAAAATGTCATAGTTATATAATACATTAACAAAGGAATTTTATGTTTAAATATTTCTATATATTTCATTATAAAGAATTTTAACATACAGGTAATGCAGTGACTGGTACAGAAACATAACTAGGTTGTCGAACCAAGGATGACAATTGATCTTGTGACATAGGCATCCATGGTTGAGGCCACCCCATCATCGATGGCTGGGAGTAAGGGACACTAGGGCTTTGAATTGAAGAACTTCTGTTTAGAGGTCGCTGAAAACCCAACACGAAAAATCACTTCATGTTATTCACTATAGGTTTCAACAAAAACATTTCCATCATTAATTAAAGAGGTACTATTGAATTCCTTTAAAGAAGGCTCAGATTTAAAATGCTGGGTGCTCTGAATCTAATAAAGTTTGCTCACATTACTAACATAAGATTTCTGCAATCTACACATAAAATTGTGGAAGTAGTTGTTACTGGATACAGTTAATAAATTTGCTGCAAGATTACAGTTAAAATATGGAGGTCAAACCAAGATGTTGAAAAATAATGTTACCATGATATTTCATCCAAGATACTTCATTGACAAGGATGAACGGAACTCCACACATACTGCTATTGCAAACAAACGATTGTCTAACTAACAGATACCAATCTGAAAAGTAGTTTTCAAAAAACTTCCCTATTAATTACTGCGAAGTTAAAGTATAAATATATGGTGCAATACATTAAAATCTGAACAAGCAAGACACATGCCTGGAAAATTTCTCCAGCCCATTAAATTAAATGGACACCTGCCTTGAAAATTTGATTCGGACTAAAGCAGAACCTGTGCAAGACAGAAACAGAACTATTTTTCATGTCTTCCAAGAGAAACAGAATTTTTGGCTGTAATGCAGTTGATAGAATGACTGGGTTAAGATATTCTTAATGGAATGTTTCTGCAGGTCAGTTTTCTGTCCGTGTCCCAGTGACATGAGATTCGTCTTAGCAGCTGTGCAGTTGAGGGGATTAGGCTGTAATGGATAGACAGCAATCTTGAGAGGGAAGCTTGCCACTCAAGGCATAAGAAAATTGTTCTTCATTGGCTATCCGAGCATGTGAAGGTTTTTTAAGCATGGCTTTTGTTATTCAGAACTTTCGATACTTTTGTGCACCTTCCTGCACTGCCTCTACCAGAGCACAGCTTAAGGCCATGTAAGGTATAAGAAAGTCACATTTTACTGGGCTGTTGTGGACTGTTTGATGAAAGAGTCAGTGAGCAAAGGCAGTCTGACTGTAGCCACTAGGCAGTGAGAAGTTGTGTTTCGGTACAGAATTTTATGCAGTTTAACAATGGTTAGAAAAAACATAGAAGTGTAACTCTAAACAGAAAATTCAAGTATTCAGAAGTAAGTGAAACTTGGAGGCTGTCAATCAAATCTCTTCAATCATTAAATTATGAGAAAAACAACAAAAGTTTACTTTAAATTTACTTACTCAAAGTTCTTTTGTGTTAAACTTACACACTCAAAAGAAAAGGTTGAAATAAAGGGGAGCTGGTGGAAGGTGCAGACATGTTAGAGTCTGATTTCATTTAATGATTTTTTCAATGTATATTCATCTAATAATTTTGTTCAGTGTATAGAGGGCATTTTCAACAAATGACTCTAGTAACTAAATCTGACACACAAACCTGATCATTGCTATTACTCTGATCTTCATTCAATGGAATAAGACAAAATCAACTGCCTTATGTGGGAACGATTTGTGCATGCTAGATCCAAGAACATTCCCATAACCATTTCAATAGGATTTGCTCAAGCTAAAGAATTTACTGAACAACAAAGCAATTTTTTTTATTTAGAGCCTCTAATGAGTGGTTAGAAAATTTTAAAAACTGTCACAGAGTAGTGTAGAATGAAATGTGTGGGGGAGTCTAATTATAATAATGTTGAAAGTGTTTTGGAATGAAACAGAAAAATTTTCAGAACAATTGCAGGTAATGATAAGGTATACCCAAGTTGGCGGGTTCAAACCCGATCGAAGTCGTGGATTTTTAAGGGCAAAAAAATCCTTTGTACGCCTTCCTTCAGAGGGGAAGTAAAGCCGGCTGCCACATGTTAGTAGATTTATTTGCACGTAAATGATCAAGCCTAAATGACCTCTCTTGAGCTAAATTCAAAATCGCCTGTTTCTCACCCAAGAAATAACTCTTTCCTCTGCTACTTGGTGAAAGGAGCATAGTGAAATTTGTGTGGTCAGACAAAGGAGTGGACCTGATGGCCCGAGTCTCACCCCGTAAAATATGGCATTAATTCAATTCAATGATAATTACACATTAGAGATGCACACAGTATTTTATCATCTTTGTAGCTTATTGTTACATTAAAATTACAAGTTTTGACATGGAAAGGCAATGTTAAAAAATAAACTCTGACTATTCTTATTCTGTGAATATATGACAACCCCACCCAGTTTTCCACTGAGATATTTAGAGGAGGAGGAGGAGGAGGAGGGGGGGGAAACCTGTCTGATATTGAAGTAAATACTGTATACTATTGACAAGGGTATGCTCCAAGGAACAATTACTTCATTAACCAGAAGCAGCTGTAAAAAGCATTTTCATTGTAATAAAAAAGACTTCTCAAATAAATTCACAAACAATTCTTTGGTAAAGTTGTGTTTTAATGTAACATTCATTGCAATTTATGAACCCAACATTTCTTATTTTTGCTTCTATTCTATTATTGATCAATACTGACAAATATAAATACCTGTCGTCTAAGCAAAGCTGTTTTGCTAGTTCCCCACGAATTAGGCACCGCAGAACCTGAAGGAATGGCTGTTGGAGCTGGAGGGGGAGAAGTAGGAAAGTGGGCTCCCAAAACCAGGCCAGCATCATCTGCATTCTGTTGCTCCTCTGGAATTAATTTGCATACTCTCAAAATCTAGCATGTCTTAAAATGCAGTGTTCTAGCTTCAAGATTAAAAAATTGTAATAATTACCTTTTATAACTTTTTTAATGTAAGGATCCAAGTTTATAGTGAAAGGAAGAAATATTTTTAAATCACTAACTAATAAACTGCTTCGGTGAAAAGTCAAGAAAATATCAAATTTACGTTCATCTTTGTCAAGCTCCAATAAAGGTTCCATTTCTTTTGAAATAGGAATCTGAGGTCTTACTCTGCAAAACAATTAAAATAATAAATATGTAATTACTCTGTTTCTTATTAAGAATGTAGACAGTATTAAGTGGTAGACAATTGTTCATTAATAATACAAATTCTGGAATATTGAAATTGCCAACATCAGAATATCAGTTAATGAATTGAATATAATGGTATTTCTACAAAAAAACAACAGTCACACACTTTCTAAAACTTGCAAATTAAAACATTGAAAGTGATAAATACATACTTGTCATATAAAGCTTTCAGAGGCATGTTATCTTCACAAGTATCTTCATACATGTCATAATACAAAATAATCCATGAAGTTCTATAAGGCCACTGTTCAGTAATATTTATCCAACTAGCTAAATGGTACCAGTTAAAATCAATTTGGAATGCTTTCAATAATCGACCTAAGAGAAAAGGATGAACACAAGCTTCTTGAATAATTCAATACTCTTTAGTATAAATAGCACACTCAAATTCAACACTCTTCATAATATCTATCATTCACACAATGATACACATGCCCATTCATTCATACAGAAACATGTAAACTTAGAGCATTATATTAAATTACCTGTACATGTAAAAATTTGTCAAGATTGTTTTGAAAGAGTTTACCGTTTCAAACTTAGGAAGTTGAAAATAATAAATATTAAATGTTAAGTTAAATAGCTGATCATTTCTTGAACCATCCTCTGATATTTTTAATTTGCTCTCACCCAGCATTTTCTTTGGATTTTCAGAAGTGTAAATTAAATGTGGATAAATACAAGAAAACAAACAATTACTGATAGATGCCTATTACCTGTGATATACACAACATTCATAAGTCTGCGCATGCTTCGTGGGTTAACTTCACTGAAGTAATCATCTGTCAGCAACATTTTGGTGAGATCATGAGCACCACCTACACGATTTAAATTACTGCCAAGACTACTAGCTACACTTTCACTCAGCTTCAATTTTCGTGAGCCCTTTCGTGAAGGTGGTTGTGGTTTCAACTTCTCAGAACTGCTCAATCCCGATTCAGATGAGAGTCTGCGACCAGACACCTGTTGTAAACACGGAAGCTTGAAATGAAAATATGATTCAGTACAATTTTTTGCACCCACTCATGCAATAATAAGAATCTGAGTTTATGAAATACAGTGTATTTCATCAACCTTAAAGTAAAAGTTATCTGTGCTATTTTGCATTCAGATTGAGATATAAAAGTAATTGGGAAATTATCTTAATTTCAGCTAGAAATTATTGTTAAGATACAGATTTGTGACTAATTATTCTGCGATTAATTTACACCTGCCTCCAACAGGTCATCAGCTGTTACAGTGTCATCCAATTGGGAGCTTACATGTCACTACAATGACATGACTATGGTGACGTGCAACCATCCATTTGGATGACACCGTAACAGCTGATTTACTTCAGAGGCAGCTCTAAATAAATCCAAGTAATAACTTCCACTGACTTTGCTCAACACAAATAATTTGAGAGTTTTTAGGAATGATGTTCACTAGAACTATTTTAAACGCACAATTTATTCAGAAATATTTAGTCACCAAACACAATGAATTTCATATTTCTGATGAACAAAAGCTTATTTTATGAGCAATGTCTTTCTAATATAACAGTGGTAATGAAGACTATAAATACTCACCGAAGACACAGCAAAACTAACACTCTCTTCATTTTCATTCCATGTTGTAGTAGCTTTTCTGTGGTGTTGAGCAGTTTGCTGCGCTACTTTGACTTTCCTCAAGCCAGAATTTTGTAAGTAAAAAGGTAAATGAACCATGTTTCTTAAATAATCATGACCACCTATATTTGATTCACTAAACAAGCGTCTACTATTT